CCTGATCGAGAATCGAGATCTCTCTTTACGGCGACGTGCGTCAACTCCCCGGGCCATGTAGAGCTGCCGTTCCTGGCTTCTACACTGTCTCGCACCCTCTCTGCAAAGGCTTTGCCAGCGGATGCCTTTGCATAACGTCACTTTGAACGATGGCAACAAGGCGCGTTCAAACCCGTCAGCCACCCACGGATTGACCTTCACGACCATGTATTAGATGCCGCAGATCGCGTTTGGTACCGGCTCAAAGTGGAAGGGACAGGTACGGCGTCCAAATTTCATGGCTCTGCAGCCCCTGACCCATCTGCTTAGGATGTCACGGACTATGTCACGAACGCCATAGAGACCGGCTTCTCTCACATAGACACTGCACAGTGTGAGTGCTCCCCGGTCAGGCTGCAGCGTATTGGGCTTTGCTTACAAAGCACAGTCTATGCCAACGAGGAGAGTGTCGCGGCCGCTATCCGTGAGACTGGACTTGACCGCTCCGACGTGTTCATCACGACAAAGTGGTCGAGCCAGGCAGGTGTGCGGGAATCGCTCGAGAGAAGCTTGGCCAAGGCGAGTTGGAATACCCAAGCTCAGCGTACCTATCTCATCAAGGCAACAGCTTGAGCTCACACAAGTCGACCTGTATCTGATTCACAACCCCGCCCTCGTGAAGGACTATGAGTCTGACTGGCGCGACTTTGAAGCAGTCAGGGAGGCCGGGTTGACCAAGTACGCTCCTTGCGCATCTAATAAAATTCATACTGAACACATTGTGCCATCCCCGGTAGGAGCATCGGTGTCAGCAATTTCAATCTAGAGCAAATGCAGAAGCTCTGGAAGATAGCCAAGGTCAAGCCTGCCGCGAACCAGGTTCATCTCTCCGCACATTTCCCTCGATGGCTGCTAAGCAAACTCGACTGCCAGATCCAGTTCCACCCCTACAACTACGCGGGAAATAAGGATCTGCTCGCGTTCTGCCAACAGCACGGTGTCGTCGTCGAGGCCTACAGTAGTCTCAGGTCAGAAATGATCGCCAACGCCTGTTATAGATGCTGACCACCACTCGTGCAGTCCCATCACAAGATACCCGGGCGGTCCAGTAGACAGGCCAGTCAATGCCGCGGCGAAGAGACTCGGTGCGACCGCCACCCAGGTCATTCTCTCCTGGGTCAAAGCCAAGGGCGTGGTCATTGTCACGTAAGCTGCGGGCGTCGATGCTCTTTCTCGAGCGCTGAGTACGTCCTTCAGCACGAGCTCCAGTCGGGAACACATGCAAGAATACCTCGACGTCGGCGATCTGCGTGAGTTGATCGCAGTGTCTTACTCCCCAGAAGCTCACGCCATGCCTGACAGCCGCATTGACCGAGGACGAGATTGCCGCTATCGATGCTGCAGGGGCTCGAGGGCCGCCATCGTCTGCCCACCGCCGCATTAGGGACACAGCCATCCTCCTTTCCACTACAGCGCTTCTAGGCTGGAGGCTGTACCGGTTCCTTCACTGAGAGGGGGCGTGTATCGTGATCCAAGCCGGGTCTAGGTCTGTAGGCTCGTAGCAGCTTATGCTACACAGTGCAAATGCGCATTTACCCCTGTGATTGTTGTATGCAAACGTGCGAGTCCATTTGTATGCCTGTTCAGATTCCACACTCTGCGCACATGCTGTCATTGGCCACCGTCGGCGCGTCTCCCCGAGAACGTCAGCCTCCCAGTGCCTATCCCTATGTGTTTGGTACTTGTATCTGAATATATAACACTGCAGATTATATGCCCGAGTGAACGACCGCGATGACATGACAAGGCAACGGCGGCTGTCAACCACAGATGGCATCAAAGGCACGCGTGATGGCTGGTTCCCACGGAAATGGGACCATCATCTGTGCTGTATTGGCGAGCGCTGACCGGAGACGGTAGCCCACGAGCGTGCGAGAACTGACCGAGTGAAATTCGAGAGATAGGCCAAGTGCAGGGTAATAGAGGACAGTGGAGTGTAAGGCAATAGAGGAGAGTAGCGGGCGAGGGAATAGAGTGCAGTAAGTAAATATATTGCGTAGTCTACTACAGCCTCGTTACATACATATCCCGGGCCCTATGTGTCGAGCCCGCCGTGCCCATCGCGCCCATCGTCCAAGCCACCACTCCGTCTGCCGCTGAACAGGACATCTGCAGAAGTGCCTTCGACCACAGCTTTGCAGTCCCCGGTCTGCTCAAAGGTCTCCCGGGCAGACAGATGCGCCAACTGGGACATCAAGGTGACATTCCGCCCGCGCGCAAGTGTGTCGTCCAGCCGTCTCCCATGCGCGCTAACGACAACCGATACTGGCCAAACCTGGTCAGCTGTAAACGCGCAGTGCACATCCAGAGATGGTCACTGCCGGAGACAGCAAGATAGCCCGCCACTCGCACACTGTATACATACCGAGCAAGTTTGTGGTGGGGCGGGGCACTGTAATGGCTAGTGACACTGACCGGGCCCGGTCAGCTGGCAACGCACCAGGCATGTCCTGAGACAGTCGCTAGTAGAAATAATGAGAGGGTGCATGCGCGCAACATATCAAATGAACAAACACGCACGACACTACCAACGCCGCCGCGGGAAGTGTCAGGCGTCGGGTACAGAGCATGTGAGGCTCAGCTTACCATACGTAGCGTGTTCTGCAGCGCATTCTGCGCAGGGGTGTCCGTGACTGGCAAGCTTCTCGTCTTGGCTGGCTCCGGCTGCACGGCGCTGCGGCTGCGAACATGCAGGCCGCTCAGATCCCCGCGCGCCGACAACGCAATTGCCGGGGGCAAGCCCTCGATTGATTGGCGATGTAGCTAGGGAGACGTAGACTGTCTCCGCACGCCGCGCGTCTGATGGCTTTTTCCGCACGGGCCCTACGCAGGGACGTGCGGCGTGCGGCATGCGACGGCCGAGCGGCGTGCCATTGATCTACGAGTCCGCCGTGGGGCTTTGGCCACATATCTTGCAAATTGCCTGGCACCAGAGTGTGCTGCACGGCGGACGATCCGGGAGGGCAGCGCGCGAGCTCTGGCGCGTGCGCGACGCCGTGTCCTTTTCACGTTGCATACCGCGGATGCAGTGCACGAAATCGGGGGACATGGCAGCGGGAGAGCGGCTGAGCAATGGGACCAAGGGGAGCAACAGAACACACGAGGGACGACAACACAATGTGGTCATGACTACCGACAGTTGAACATGTGCAGGGAGTTGGTGGCCGAACATTGAGCGCATGCGAGAAAGAGGACCGCGGCTGCGTCCTCCCGCCCGCTCTGATTGCGGCGACCAGAACGCGCATCATCCGCATCATTGCAGTGGGATGACCAGCGGCGGCACACACAGACCAGATCCCCCCGCCGCTAGGATGTGCGACCGACGTAGTTTGACTGCGCAGCCGTCGTGGGGTAAATCGACAGCTGCCGACAATGCGCTCTCGTTGCCGCTCCGGATGTGGGGGCAGTTGTCTAGATGCCAGATTGTCGGCTGCCCGCGTGTCGCGAATGCCGCTCGGCGCTGTTCTTGTCGCTGTTGCCATATTCCGCCTTTTGCCTTATTTCCCGGCTGATGGTGTCTGACCGGGGACACAGCGCTAGCACTGGAGCTTCGCGCCGGAGCACCCTGCGCGTTGCTCTGGCACCCGACACGATGCACATTTCTCGCCCTCAGAATCCAGCGGAGGCGCGAGCCGTAGCAGCGGCCAGCTCGCTAGAGCGTGCGGGGAGCTCGCGAGGGACATGCCGAGATGATGGCAGGCCAGCGTGCGTCGCGAGGGGGACAGCGTGTCGGGTGCATCCATGGAGAGCCCAGACACCGATCAGGGAGTGCAGGGCAGCGTGAGTGGCGGCGGCAGACACGCAAATGGCGTGGATATGAGGATGCACACGCGTGGGCGCGGGGACGCTGCGTGCGATGCAGACGTCGCCACCGTACTTACCGATAAGGGTGCTGGACGATACGGGGGTGTTGCGGCTGGCAGATCTGGAGGGAGCATACATCGGTGAGTGCATTCGTCTACGTCAGGCAGAATGGCCATTCGTGTCTAGGCCAAGGCACACAGGCAAGGATACGGGGAGCGTTGCCGTCGGGCGAGTAGGAGCGTAGCGACACGGCGGCCGATGCAACACAAGGGCAGCGCCTGGGTGAGATATCCGATCGGCAGTCGTGGGAACGGAAGGAGGCCGGGGTCGCATGCGAGGTATCAAAAGCGGGGAGGAGCGGCGTCGTCAGAGACTCCTCCGCTGCTCACGACTCGTCTTCCACTCTGTTGTCGTTCGTATTATGCCCCGCCCGCTGTCTCGCTCGCCCGGCGCGGCCACATACGTGCTGCGCGCCCGGACGCTGGTCAGGTAAGCCGCCGTCATGTCATAGAATGCCACTCGCCGTGTACACCGTTGCAGGTGCGCTGCAAACCGTTTCCGACCGCAGTGTGCATTAGCTGATCGTGCCAAACGGTCTAGATGATGGCGAGAGTGCTGGCGAGCTGACCGAGCTAACAGTGTCCAGCGCAAGGGACCGTTGCCGCAGCCGCGCAGACTGAGCAAGGCGGGCGACCAGCGGTAGCTCGTTGAGAATCAGTAGTCCGCGGTCGCGTGGACACTGACGGCTGGCCGGTCAGAGCGTCGCGTCAACTGGTGAGCGACCGGCAATGATCGATCTCCATGTAGATGCTTACCGCGACGTGCGATCTGTAGACGTCCGTGCCTCGCCATATCGCTCGAGTCATCTCGCCATCCGCGCGGCGGTGCGGACCATCCGCGTCCTCGTCGCCGCTCTGAAGCACTGGTGGCGGGAGGACGCAGTTGCGAATAGGGGCCATAGTCTAGATGCCGGGGCGTCGGGCGGCGAGCGGGGCGGGGCGTGCGGAACACGGGTGACGCGGGATGACCAATGGCTAGATAGCGGGATGTGCGCATGAGTAGATAGCGACCGGGGATAACGTGCGCGAAAGGTGAGTATGATTGGAGCGCGTGCATCGTGGATTCTCTGAACCGATTGCCGCGCACGACATGTCTTGTAAGGTGACGGCCGGCGGCAGAATCAGTGAGATCGCGCGGGACAGAGGCGGCACGCACGAAGGCGCCATTGGGTGTGCGTCCAGCATAGTTTGATGGCAGGCGCTGTGAGGCCGATCGACGGCTGCCGACGATGTGGACGATCTGCGCCCGACGACGACAATTAGATGTAGGTGCCGTCGCGGGCAGTCGTCTTGATGCCAGGTTGTCGCGCGGCAGGCGTAGCGAGCTGTTAGGAATATGAGTGAGGCGAGATTGTCAATAGAGACTGACCGGGGAATAAGGAGCGATCAGAGACTGGGCGTATACTTACGTGAAGAGCCAAGACGCCGATCACACAGCGCGGGGCGACGCGAAGAACAGGGGCCATCACGCGAATGGTGTGAATACGAAAATGTGCACGCGCACGCATGGGCGCGGGCGCGGGTGCAGCATTGGTTGTGCGGGGACATTGTGTGCGGCGCAGGCGTCGCCACCGTAGCGATAAGGGCGACGGACGATGTGGGGGCGTTGCGGCCGCTGGATCGGAAGGGTGCATACGTCGGAGAGTGTGTCCGTCCGCGTCAAGCAGAATGACCGCTCACGTTCGGGCCTAGGTACGCGGGCGGGAACGCGGGGGCGCTGCCGTCATGATTTTGGGCGAGTAGTAACCATTGAGCGACGCGGCAGCCGATGCGAGATGTCCGGGCGGCAGTCGTGGGAATGGCAACAGGCCGGGAAAGCGTGTGAGGGATTTAAAGGTGGACGTCGTCAGAGAATCCTGTGTGATGTGCGACTCGTCTTCCGCTCTGTTGTCGCTCGTACTGTGCCCCGCCCGCTATCTCGCTCGCCCGGCGTGGCCACGTACGTGCTGCGCGCCCGGACACTGGTCAGGTAAGCCGCCGTCGTTTTAAGGAGTGCTGCATCACGCCACTCACTGTGTACGCCACTGCAGCAGTCGACGTCGCCAGATGGTCAAGACGATGGCTGGAGCATACCACGTACCGAGTACGCGGGGTGAGTGATGCATGCATGCGTGCGGTGATGCCAAGCTAACGGGGTTAATGGTGTCAATGAGGTCCGGGAGCGCGGAGGACCGTCGTCGCGGCTGAGCGGATTGAACGAGGCGGACGGTCGGTGGTAGACGTTTGGCCCGCGGCTGCGTAGGTGATGAGGGCCGGTCGGCCAGAACATCGCGTCCTACGTCCGCGCCGGATGGTAAGTGGCGGGCGATGGTCTCGACATGCAAATGAAACGCTTACTACAATGTGCAATCTGTAGGCGTTCACGTCATCCCGCTGTGACGACGTGGACGACCCGCGTGCGCGTTCCCGGTCTGAAGCACTGGTAGCGGGAGGACGCCGTCGCGGATGGGGGCAATCGCGTAGATGTCGGGCTGCGAGCGGGGCGGGGCGTGCAAAACACGGGAGATGCGGGATGGCCGACGGTTAGATAGCGGGGAGTGCATGTGAGTAGCTAGTGACGGTGATAGCGTGCGCGCGAGATGAGTATCGCTGGAGCGCGTGCGTCGCGGACCGTTTGCGGCGCACGATACGTCGATTAAAGGGACGGCTGGCAGCGGAATGAGTGAGACGGCGCGGGACAGAAGCGGTACGCACCAACTCAGCCTGCTGCCGTTTGTGCGTGCGGCGTGGTTCGACGGCGCGTGCGTTGTGAGGACAATCGACGGCGTCCGACGCCGCGGACGATTCGCGCCCTGGTCGCTGCTCTGAAGCACCGGCACCGGCGGCGGTTGGATGCAAG